GGAGCACGAATTGGAGCTATTATGAGCCAAATGAATTCTCGACTTCCGAAAATCTGGTCTAGTTCGACTACTCGATGTTAAATTTCGGTCCCACGTGTTATATTGCGAATTCCTTTTTATATGTGATCTTGAAATAGCTGTATTATTTATAAATTTTTGAAAACATTAATATTTTTCACATGTTATTGCACATGAAGGCACTATATAATTTAAAGATCGAAAATAAATTGAAAAAATTTTCGACTCGGGCAGGACTTGAACCGGCATCGTCAGCTTTCCGTGCTGTTGCTCTACCAATTGAGCTACCGAGTCAATTTAATTACGATCTTTTAATTATAAATTTATCAAACACTTAAGGCGAACTATCCCGGTTTTAGAACGCCCTAAGTCTAGCTTTTATTATATTGTGTGGCGCTTTTTAACATTAGTTTTATAGAATTATTCAGTTCTTTCTTACCATTTTGTACTATTTGCTAGTCGGTATATGCATGTTTACTTGTTGGTTACCGCAAAAAAATCACTATATATATATATATATATATACTTGCAGTATTCTCATTGAGTTCTATGGTTTGCTTATGCTTTGATTTGTCGTTGGCTGGTTGGTGATAGCATGTAGCAACGAACTTAGGTATAATCGTGTTGTGTCAAATCAGCTGCAAGATTCTTTATCTATTATGAGTGTGTAGATAAGTTGATAACACTGCATATTCATTGTTTTCGGAGTATATCGATAAACGTATTTACTTTGAAAATGCAACGTTGGTTAGACATAGCGATATCTATTTATAGTCCGTTCGTATGGATCAAATCGGGGCATCGCTTGATCTAATGATTTCGTGTTTGGAAGTCGAATTAGAAGATCTGAATATATGTCAAAAATCCTTAAATTAATATAATTACACGGTGAAATACTTGTGTATTTATTCGAGCTCTTTAAAGTTTAGACGTACTAATGCTAGCAATGGATGGCTAATGACAGAACGTGGGTTCGACACCCACCAGGTCCACAATGTTATGTGTATATTTTTTTCTAAATTTGGTCTTGGTCTAGAAACCACCGTCCACAGATGAAAAGGCCGAAAAGTTCAATTGCTGTTCGGGTTCAGTCCCTTAAATTTGAAATATTGAGCGCCAAAATAGGTCAACAGCCTAAACAAGATGTTATATGGCTGGGATAGGTACTTCACCTTCCATCGAGTGAACCCTACGCTTATCTGTCGGCCTATCATAAAAAGGAATTTTTAATTTATATGTTTATCTTTATTTGTATGGAAATTCAGTAAAAACATTCACTTATCTTATCGTTAAGAATTGAGTCGGGCCGAAGTTAAAAATGATTTTTAACTTCGGCCCGACGTTTCGGATGCTTTGCAGCGAAGTTAAAAATCATTGTCAAATAAGTTTAACTAATATATCGCGTTTTAAACCGTTAAAGTGTTTTATTCAATTGTACTGTCGCAAATTAAATCATTCTTTTCAATTCGATGTTGAATTACGATTACGATTTTACATTTAGGGCACCAATTTTAGTCCTCTAAAATAGTACATATAATATTTTTTATGTTGATGAATTATCTCTAACAAAATTTATTTTTTAATTTATATAAGGAAACGATGAAGAGATTATACCGTAAATAAATACACCTTTTCAAAAATTGGTTTAATGAATGAGAGCCGCGCAAAAATATTAAATTGAAAGCTGTTTGTTGTCATTTCAAATTTCTTTCAACATTTTAATTTAAAAGGACATTTGCATCACTGTTTTAAGTCCCATCCCCAATTTTATTTGTGGTCATATGCAACTCTATAATAGGCCAATTTTGTGTTATATTTTTAAAAAGGAACACCTTAGTAGTTTTAAATATCAGCGTTTACTTATTTACAATTTATTTTGGCACCGTGAATCCGTTCTGTAAGTACACAGTTAGTTCCTCCAAAAACCAACTACGTCGAAACAGATGGCGCTAGCGTAGCAGTTTTGACTTTGACATTAGGGACACCCTCTAACTTCGGATCCCCTGTAACCGTGGCTGCTAAAAAGCATCCGAAACGTTAAAAATAAGTTAACTAAAATATATCGCGTTTTAAAATAAAGTGTTTTTTTAAAATGTGAACTACTCGCGTGAACTACAGACTATATAAAAATCTTCAGCTCTAAGTTCCGACTAAAAAGTACTTAGCACTATTTTAAGTAAGGCCTGAAGGCAATTCTAGGAATATACAGTAGAAGATAAATTTGGGGGTCTATTGTTCGTTTGAACAAATTAAATACATAGGCAATGTCTCCTTATAAAAAAGCCTGCGTTTAATTAACAGCAGCATACATACACAGCGGCATAATCCGATACGGCACAACAGTCAGAGACGGCCCTAGGGTTGATACACGGTAACTATTTTATTTTAATTGATTTATGAATTTAACTATATAATGATAAAGAAGTCTAAACTTTTAATAACAGCTATTGAATACTTAAATTAAATAAAATTATTTTTTGTAATAAGGAACCCTGTCGGGTCTAGGCTTGGGTCGTGAGTCTCGGTTTTAAATTAACTTAAATTATAATAAGCAGTTATCTTTTTATTTATATTATATAATTACCATCTAGAGAGTAATATTAGAATGCTAAAGAGGTGGGCTCGGGTTCGATCCCCGGTGGACGTAACATGCTCATGTTTCTAATCAATTTGTAATTTTTCTGAAACATGTCCGCCTCTGTCTGACCTTGTTTCGATATCTGGATTTCGGAATATCCAAAAAGTTTAATGGGTGAAGTATTTCTCCTTCCATCTAGCGAATGTCTCGCCTGTTCTCCTCTATTATAAATAAAAATGTTACCAGTAAACAATTATCGGAATATGTGTCACGAAGTGATTAACGGAAGCTATTGTGGAAACAATTATATTGTTGAGTCATATATGTATTACTTTGTGAGTATGGATATTGTTTTCGTATTACGGAAGTTTCTATAATAACTTGTTAATTAATTATTAACGTATATATGTACGACGCTGTTCCATGTCAACCAAAAGGTTTTTGTGAGTGAATCTTAGACGATATGCCTGATTTGGTTTCAAGTTAAATATGTATAATAATTAACCAATCCAATTTGATTATCATATTTGTTAATCGTGTGTGTAATCCTAAATTTCAGTCTTATCTATGATACATTTTATATCATTTCCTAACACCGTTTTTGTTTTTTAGTCTTGTTTATATATTCAACTTTGTGCATGGTTTTATCACCATTTAAATGCTATTTAACGGTTTAAAACTGTATTTTTAATGTATACTACTAATAAAGATAATGCTTAGTTGCCTAAAAGTTTTATAGTTCGTCACATAGTAATCGATAGTCAATCTTGGATTACACATATGTTGTATTTCTTTCGTTGGGAAATGGAAATTAAACCGTGATATTCTTTGTGTGTTCCGGGCAAAAGTGATTAATTCTTGTATCTACAGAGTTTTGATGTGGGCTAGAAGTGGAACGATGGAAGTGTACCTACGGCTTTCAATCAAATCAAAGACGCGTATAATATTAAGTATTAACTGCAATTTATTCGAGTGTGGATTTCAACCATAGAACAAACATGCGAAGGAAATTCAATTTTCTTTCTGAATGGTGCACCAACGCTCGCGAAGTGCTAATGAGGTCACCATTTTGCATCGTCTTCTGACCTAATTAGAGCACAAGGACGCCATACATACAGCCATCATTATTTATATATGACTCATATTTTGCTGAGCAATATTCGTAATCAGGATTATTAATCACTCTGTCAGTACGAAACTAGCCGAGACTGCGACTTCCTTTCATCATTTGTTTTTGCAAACCTCCTTCTCATCTTCGACGTCGCGTCTCGCCGTAGCGAGTTAATACTAAAAGATAGACATGTACTGTCGCGAAAATTTTTTTCGATTGTTTAAAGAAGCTTTCGCAGCGCACGCAACGGAAAGCCTTCGAGATAAACAATCTTCGCCATCTCTTTCACATTTCTCGCTTCCTTAAAGCCTTCCTTGATAAATGCTTAGATTAGTGCGTTCAATGAAACAAAGAAGAGTTTGTGTCGAGAATGCTTTGCCATTAATGTCAAAGTAAAGTTACTACTCCAGCGCCATCTGTTCGCGATTTAAACCGTCGGAAGTGTTTCATTTTAATGTGTATTATTCGCGTGAAATACAGACATTATTTACTCGTTGAACTATCCAATGAAACTCTAAGTTTACTATTATACCAAACGATTATGAATCTATATATTTATTGACAAAACGTTTCAAGTCCTAAGAATAAAAAAAAACTGTTTCGGCTTTTGCTATCGCGACGTGTTACTAACTTATTACAATGGCACTGACAGGTGCTAATTTTAAGTATTATATTATATATCAAATTGTTAAAAATTATTTTTATTCCTAGTTAATAGGTATAGCATATAAGAAGAGCTCGATATAAAACTACACTACGTGGTACGTGTAGAATGCTGTTGTTATCTGGCGTAAAAAATATAAAAAATGGGGTACTAACTTCTGCCTATCAGGCCCCAGTAACCTGCTTTAGGGTGACGCTAGATGTCGCTTCGAAACCTTCATATACGATTACTGATATATTTTTTGATAATTGATATAAACTCTCGGAATGAACTGGTTATGCAAAGTTAATTGGTTTTCCGAATATCCAAAGCCAAAATCTTGTTGACTGTTATTTGGTTAAGGTGTTTTATCTTCCATTAACTGAAGCATGGGGTGTCCATTATATAAAAACGCACTTCAAATTAAAATACCTTAACTTTGATTGGGTGTTTTTATTAAATCTCTTTGTCAAACAATTCGCGTAACACAATTGTTCGTTACAACAGCAAGCATTTTCATAGCGTGACAGTGTCACGTTGACTGACTTCACAAATCACTCGTACGAACATGCATCAGTCATAACAAAGTCACTAATAGTCTAAGAAGTGATGAAACCCTACTTTGAAACCTAATTACCAAACTGATACAATCAAAAAGCTCGGTATCCCAAGAATTTTGTGTGTACAAACTCGAATAATGCAAAGGGTTGTCGTATGACAGTGAGAATATTGACAACTGAAGTGATGTTGCAAATGCATAGAGAATAGTCGAGGTATCGATGGCGCGAGTCGTATCGATAAGGGGCGACGGCAACTGCCTGTTCAGGTCGGTCTCTTATTGCGTATTCGGCACTCAAGAGAAGCACAGAGAAATACGTCTGCGAGCCGTGGACCGAGTGGTTGAAAACTGGAGCCGGTACAAGGACTTCATAATCGGCGATAGGTCGTATGGCTCCTCCATACAACAGGCGTCGGACTATCGTAATCTGATGTCGAGGGACGGCGAATACGCCGGCCACGTCGAACTGCATTCTGTTAGTGAAATATACTCGGAATTCACGTTCGTAGTCCACATGAACTCCTGTTTCAAAACTATCGAGTACGGACGCGGCGCTGTCGTTAAGCATCTCTTGTTTTCAGGGTACTTTGACGCGGGCCATTACAGTGTTTTAGAATATTCATGAATTTTTATTGTTTATTTATTGTAATAAAATCCTACGCTCGGTTGAAGATTTTCACTTAACATCCCAAATTGTCTAAATTTTCAGTGTAAGACTAAAAAACTGTAAAACATCAAAATTAATTCAAGTAAAACACTTTTTTTTTATTTATTTTTTATTTTATTTAATTTTATTTAACTTCTTTTACATTATAATTTTAATTTTTAAACTTTTAACGGTTTGTAACGTGAAATAAGTTTAACTAACTCACTTTGTTTTTTTAAACCGTTAAAACCTCCCGTGAGCTACAGACTATTTAAAAAAATTATAAAACTACTCCATTTTCAAGAAATAATCGATTAAATACGAGAAAATTATTACGAATAATCGAAAAGTGAAGTTGACATCGTAGGCCTGAGCAAAAAGTTTCCTTCCTTCTTATTCATATTCAAGTGAATAAATGTTTTAGAGTCGGGGAACGAGCAGAAAGCATTACCACGATTCTATGAATAGAACGCAATTGATACCGTAGTGGTAGTTAACGAGAGTAGATGCGAGCTATTCTTTACCTGCGCTTACGTATTCTTATTTCGAATTGATATACCGTTAACCCTTCCTTCTGTCATCTTGGGTTGACTGGAAGAGATCGCTATATTTTTACAAGTGTCGTTGGTATTTTTACTACTGGTTCGAATTGAGAAAATATTTTTGTATTGGTTAGAGCTTTTATCGAGAGAGGCTGTAGGCTATAAAACATCAGACTGCCGAGAGATGCGAAATGTGGAAAAAAATTAGATTTTTTTTATTTTTGCGGGTCTCCGTTGCGTGCGCTGTAAAAACGTTTTAATATACCTACAAAGTATATATGAAAGTATTGTTCTTCGTTAAGTTATCTAAAATAATATCGGCGACTGTATATGTCTATCTTTTAAGGTTCACTAGCAAAAACGATTGGACGCGAGGGATTAAGAGGAGTGTTATAAGTATATAAACTTTGGATGAATTTGTAAGTCTATGAATGAATTTATAGCTGATAATATGTACGCTCTACATCATCATTCACAGAACGGGTTTCAAGCGTGGGTAACAAAGGCTATGACATTATATACGGCGGGACTTTAAAACATGAAGTTCTTTACAAAAAATAGACTGAGATCTTCGCTTTTTTCATCTAAAAAAAAGTAAATTTGATTTTGACAGTAAACCCGATCTCCAGTCCCCCATGACCACGGCTGCTAACCGTACGAAACCGTTAATTTTTATTATATGCGTCTCTAAAGTTTATGCTCATGCAATACTTTAGGATAGGTTTGTTCGGGCTTATGCAAGTTTTATAATCCGTTTTGTTCTCCCGAGATAACTGTATACGGGTGGCTTGAACTATAAAAGCCACAGACAGTTAAGTTAATCAGAGGGGTCAATATATTTAAGTGCTCGCTTATTGTATAGGACGGGAGATAAGGGCATCATTATTTTGGAACTAAAGTCGTGAAGTTCATCGCGGATCGGTTTCCGAATATGCGAAGCCGAAATAGGTCGACGTCGCATCTTGTTTAGATGTGAAATGGCTGGCTGTAACGTTCCATCAAGTGCATCATCACCTCACGCTTGTCCGTCTTCGTCCATCTTAAAAGACAGACACTACTTTTTCATACGGTTTCAAATACACGAAGTTTATACAGATAAATCATGATGTAATTTTATTTATATGCAATTTGGGATATAAATTTGAATTAAGTAACAATTTAAGAACCACACTATTGTTTGCAATGAAAATCTTCAAAATGGGGCGTGGGGCGAACACATTTCTGTATCTGTTTTATTCACAGGCAAATAGTTGATAAGACTTCCGTGCCTTGCCTGAAGCAATATATAGTTTTCCCGGGAGTCGAACCCAGGGTTTCTCACGCTTAGCACAAAGCAATCAACACATTGAGCCATTTAGCTACAGAGGCGGTTAAGTCTAAGCTAAATTAAATCTCGATAAATCTATAGTAATAAAAGTCCACTATTTGTTGTTTATTAAAAAAAAGCTAGACAGATTTTAATGATTTTAAAGGTACAAAATATATCATGCGTGATAATTTAATTGTAGCAAAAGCAACTACATAAAATAGGGCTCAAATACTAGTGGTATCTCTTCAGATGGCCTGATTACAAGGTAAAAAATTATTTCACGTCCGTTACTATATGTATTCACTTGTTTTAACACTTTAATACTTTTCACATGTTTATTGCACACGAATAAAAATCGATTTTTTTTACATTGCGCGAGAGGTGCATGTATCAATAAGTTGAAAAAATTCGACGATGAGGTGTAGGACTCGGTAGCTCAATTGGTAGAGCAACAGCACGGAACGCTGACGATGTCGGTTCAAGTCCTGGCCGAGTCAAGAAAAATTGAATTTTATAAAGCTGAAGAAAGTTTGTTTGCAGTTGCTGTTGTTGAAAAATTATTTTTGTGTCGCGCTGCTACCAATAGGAGCGACTGAAAAGTGAGAAATGTGGAAAAACCCGTAATATCTATTTAGATTGAAAAAATCATTGCGAAGCGGGCAGTAGGTACTTGAACCGGCATCTATAGCGTTCCGTGCTGCTCTAACCAATTGAGCTATCGTGTCAAATTACTTACAGAGATGTGAGAATTTTGAATATTTTTGTTAAGTTGGATGTTGGTATTTCGACTCCCGCGCCGATTTAATGTTGCAGTGCATTATTTAGTATTGATGATATAATACCGGATGTCAAGCTTACACGAAGCTATAAAATATCCATGTTTAATCTGTGGATTGAATTCGATTGGCTTCGGTCGTTATAAGTCAGGGACGTTTTGATTCATGGCGGAGCCGGTCGTAGCGTCATTTCTCTACAACACTTGGTGACCTTGAACTTGTACGTGTGTGACTTGTAGTAAAAAGTTAAGACAGTTACACATTGGATGACTGTCGGCCGCAACAGCCTATGAAACGAGCTGTTGAAAATATTGCTTACTGGAATTTTATATACATCAAATATTTAATTAATATAATATTTAATTTGAATACAAAACATTAGGTTTTTAGTCTAGCTCATCAAAGACTATACGCGATAAAAACCGGCGCGAGCGCAGCGTTACTTGCCAGTTATTCTAGCTTCACGCTCCAAAATAAATTATTCTTATTCTTAATAATCCGCGTCTGTACCTAAATTGTTAAACGTGTAGCCTAGCATTGCGTTACGCGCAAAATGTACTAGCTTCTAATAACGGGAAAACAGTAGATTGTTGGGTCAGGCAGAGCACAAGTCTTAACAACTAGTTAATGTACTGATCATCGAACGGAGACAGAAATATGTTCGCCCCATGCCCCACGGAGGGAAACGAGATTTCCTATCTCTGATTCTCTGAGATTTTTTAAAGTGTTTGAATTTTAGTCACATAGAAAAATCTAATGAAATGAATATATTGTCTGGTCTAATAAACACAACACGTATGTAACGTTAACCATAATATAACGTTTAAATAAAATGCGCCTATCGTGTCTTTTGACGATCGTAAGGAAATTATGATTTGACTATTGTTTTGTAGTGTTTATCATACCTTTCTTACCTCTCGTAATATTTAAAATTAGAATGACAGTTAAACTAAGTATCATTAACTGTCGTTCTAATTTGAAATGTTGACATTTACCTATTGTTTTGAAAGAGAATTGTCAACAGAGATAGGTATAATGGTACGGATCGCTGTGTTCAAAAAGTAGGAAATCTAAATGCATCGTCTTCATTTCGCAGCTCCACAGAGATTTTCCAATGTAAACACGCCTTACCGAACCGTTTGCCATAGGATAATAATATTACTAAAAATAAAAATGACTCGTCGCTTCGTATCTACAGACTACAACCGGTCGGCAATTTTACGTGCATCGCTATCTCTTTCCACGCCGCTCGAGTGAGGGAGACGGGTGCCAACCCACGATTTATTAAGTTGTACATTTCGGACGAGTCCCATATCTTTGGGTATGTTTTGTCTAATAGTCATGAATGGTTAGCTCCTAACGAAGGAATTCTTTAAAACCCACGGACGCTGTATCTTCTTCTTCTTCTTACATTTTTTTCTTACAAAATTTCTTCTTACAAAATTTAAATAACTAGAACCCTTTCAACTGTTCAAAACGCGAAGTAGTAAACTTATTAAATATAACCAAGAGGTTTCGGATGCTTTACAGCACTTGTGGTCACGTTCTCCGTCCGTTATATTATTCTAACCGTCACCTCTTATATTTCGCGTTAAAAAACCGTTAAAAGTGTTTTATTTAAAATTTCATTTGACAGATTATTATAAAGAGACAGATATTAGATTTGACACGCTGTCGCTAAACGCAAATGATTATAATGAAATATTGATATTTCGTTTTGTAAGAAATGCAGTTTGGTGGGGGGGGCATCGCATCATTGCATCGTATTGGACGTCTGGCACATTCGCGTCATTATAAAAGTTGGATACTCAACCATCGATTGTAGAACGGGTGTTCAGCTCTCGCATTTTCCGCAGCATTCTCACATTTTTTCCAAGTCCCATAGCATCGTTATTACTTTCGCCGCTAACAATGGGGTTATGGCCGCCCTTTTCATATTACTGTTTCTCGGCCTATTGTTTCGTCATTATTAGGTAGGATGAACGCGCGATTACTATGCAATACGTGCTACCGACTAACTATTTTTTGTTTTTTTTTTTATGATCACAGCTATTTAATCTATAGATGGTGGTTCGTTCCCCGCACGGACGACTTTCGGGCATATTCCAATATGATTAGAAATAAAAGTTAGAAATTGATTAGAACAAATTTTGACCCATTGAAGAGCTAGCTGACGTCCCGTTGACTATGAGCCATATATTGCAACCTTCTCTATTATATAAAAATACTCGTGACTGTTCTAGAAGTACTTGTGAATAGCTCTCCACAGTGGAACTGGTTCGTTAAAAATATTGC